AGAGGAGGCTGCTTTCACGGGGGGGGGGGGGGTGTAGGGTCGGGGTTAGGGGAAAGGGGGGGTTAGTGTTTTAAAGCAAATATTTTCAGTGGCAGCATTGGTACTGTCGAATTCACAAATTATGAATTACTGAAAAGTAGAAAATAAAACAACTAAATAGCGGCGTATGATACGCTGCGGGTCGGCTCGTTTTAATATATTATTACATGCATGCAACTTTTGTTTATATAACAATAAATAAAAGCGTAAGGATCTAAAAAAAACTAGAAAGCGTATTCGTAAGCAAACATGTGATACGATCGTCCACTTTTAGCATTATTTGAGTTCATGTGTAGTATATTCCTTAGGCGTTCTTCTACCACCTCACAAAATTTCATGAGGGGTCGTCGGAGGAAATTTTTTTTCGTAATAGAGCTCATATAAAGAGAATTTCACTCGCGGTCATGTTTTAGCCCTCGTCGAGGGCTTTAAGTCAAACCGACAGTTTTCCTTAAAGGCCAAGCCATTTACCTAAGAGCATGCAAAAAATTAGCCAGCTATACTGAGTTTAAGTATCCTTAAATCCGCGTTGAAATGACCCTCTGTTTTTCCCATAAAATACAAAGATTATATAGGGAAATACAACTGGTCAGTTTTGACCCCTTTACGAAGTTTTCCCAGATATGCCGAGTTTTTTCTGACACCCCTAGGCGTTCTTCTACCACCTCAGAAAATTTCAAGGGGGTCGTCGGAGAAATATTTTTTTCGTAAAAAGAGCTCATATTAAGAGAATTTCACTAACGGTCACTGTTTAGCCCTCGCCGAGGGCTTTGAGTGAAACCGACAGGTCTGCCCTACGGCCAAGCCATTTACCTATAAGCATGCCAAAAATTAGCCAGATGTTAAGAGGGTAAGTGCCCTAAAATCCGTTTTCAAATTTTTCTGTTGCAAGAACAGCTCTGACCTGGATTAGATGTGCCATCTTCCCTTTCTCTTCTCCTTGTTGCTTATATCTTTTTACAGCCAAATAAAGCACTGTTCACTTTACACTTGCGCGTATTGATTTATAGTCAGCTCCTAGAGCTAAAGCTACACAATGTTTTAGTTTATTCTTTTTTTTTTTATTTAAAGCCGAAAAAAGTCACTGTCAGTTTTCGTCATCGGCTTGTGAGGACTGATACAGATTTACTGTAGTAATACTTCTTTCTTACATGTAGCCTACATTCATTCATTTAAGATGGTTTACTTATATGAAGATCTAATATAACTATATAATTACAATTGTATTTTTTTTTTAAAAAAACCTGAAAATGCAAATGTGTAATTAAATGAGGATTCAAAGGATTTTTTTTTATCGGCGTTGTGGACTGAGTGGTGTTTGGGCATTTAAGTAGAGCTGAAATAAATTTGGTATTACAAAAAGTTAAAACAATAGTCTCATTTTTATAATAAAGTCAAAATTAAATATTTCGTATCAATAGGGTAGTCCCTACTCCCCTGAAAACATTGATAAAAAAAACAATCATACGAGATATAACAAAATCAATAACCTATTTAAATGGTTCTAATGATTTTTAAATACAAATGCAATTTAATTCCTTTTTTATACTGAATGTTATTTCTTGAATATTTCATACGTAATTATTTGTTACTATAAGAAAATTACTACAGTAATTTGATTAATGTATAATTGTTTTGTACTTCTTAGTTAGACTTTAATCAACGAAACTTTGTGTAAGTTTTTTCCCTTGTTTAATAAAGCTACAATTTGGTTAACGAGAAATAAAATACCATAACGGGAAATATTGTAGTATATAATAACATTTTCTTTTTAATAACATTTTATACTATGAAATAAAAACAAAAACGTTAAAGTATGTCACTGACCTACATATTATTGTAATAAGACTAGATGTACTACAGTGACTTCAGAAGTAAACTTAAAAAATATATCTATATATATTTTATAAAAACAATGTTACGCATGACGAACTGAGAACACATTCAATCGTTACATCGTTTCTTTATGCATCAAGTAAATCAAGATTCTCACATCGTATGTCAGTGAATACATGGTAATGTGGGTATCAAACTATAATTAAATATTCGTTTTTGTTTCGTTTAATTTAATGTCCCATTTCCCCAGGTAGTTTATTATTATGTAGCCTTTAGAGATGGATGTTGGGAAGGTGTAATTAGCGGATGGTCTCATGACGTGGGTCCAGGGGACAAACAAAACTATCGCTCAGCAGAGAGTGAAGTTACAATCTAATCTGGCTTGTATTGCCGAGTACTGACGTAACTGGCTGTTGGAGATTGTTACGGGTCAGATGTAGGTCAGATTAGAACTAGAACTAGGGGAGAGTGCGTTTGTGAGTGGAGTTAACCCTACTGTGTAGTAAACCCTTGTAATCCCAAGGTCGAATGCGGGTATAAAAGGGCGAGTGAACGATTGTAGGGGGTCAGTCAGTGGGTTATTTGCTAGCGATTAGGACGAGGGCTACGCTTGAATGTATTTGAGACGGAATAAAAGTAGCGAACGAAGTCACGAAGCGTTGTTGTTCATCAGAAACCAACCCCGAATGTAACAACTGGTGACCAGTATGAAACAAGTAGAAGCTAAGACCGGATGCTGTCCTGACGTTTGCCTGATGTTGTCTTGACGAGTGATGATACTACTCAAGTAGACGAGTGATGATACTACTCAAGTAGACGAGTGATGATACTACTCAAGTAGACGAGTGATGATACTACTCAAGTAGACGAGTGATGATACTACTCGTGTAGACGAGTGATGATACTACTCAAGTAGACGAGTGATGATACTACTCAAGTAGACGAGTGATGATACTACTCAAGTAGACGAGTGATGATACTACTCAAGTAGACGAGTGATGATACTACTCAAGTAGACGAGTGATGATACTACTCAAGTAGACGAGTGATGATACTACTCAAGTAGACGAGTGATGATACTACTCAAGTAGACGAGTGATGATACTACTCAAGTAGACGAGTGATGATACTACTCAAGTAGATGAGTGATGATACTACTCGTGTAGATGAGTGATGATACTACTCGTGTAGACGAGTGATGATACTACTCAAGTAGACGAGTGATGATACTACTCAAGTAGACGAGTGATGATACTACTCAAGTAGACGAGTGATGATACTCATCAAGTAGACGAGTGATGATACTCATCAAGTAGACGAGTGATGATACTCATCAAGTAGACGAGTGATGATACTACTCAAGTAGACGAGTGATGATACTCATCAAGTAGACGAGTGATGATACTCATCAAGTAGACGAGTGATGATATCAAGTAGACGAGTGATTATGCATAATGCTACTCAAGTAGACTAGTGATGATACTACTCAAGTAGACGAGTGATGATACTACTCAAGTAGACGTGTGATGATACTACTCAAGTAGACGAGTGATGATACTACTCAAGTAGACGAGTGATGATACTACTCAAGTAGATGAGTGATGATACTACTCGTGTAGATGAGTGATGATACTACTCGTGTAGACGAGTGATGATACTACTCAAGTAGACGAGTGATGATACTACTCAAGTAGACGAGTGATGATACTACTCAAGTAGACGAGTGATGATACTACTCAAGTAGACGAGTGATGATACTACTCAAGTAGACGAGTGATGATACTCATCAAGTAGACGAGTGATGATATCAAGTAGACGAGTATGCATAATGCTACTCAAGTAGACTAGTGATGATACTACTCAAGTAGACTAGTGATGATACTACTCAAGTAGACTAGTGATGATACTACTCAAGTAGACTAGTGGTGATACTACTCAAGTAATCGAGTGATGATACTATTCAAGTAGACGAGTGATGATACTACTCAAGTAGACGAGTGATGATACTACTCAAGTAGACGAGTGATGATACTACTCAAGTAGACGAGTGATGATACTACTCAAGTAGACGAGTGATGATACTACTCAAGTAGACGAGTGATGATACTACTCAAGTAGACGAGTGATGATACTCATCAAGTAGACGAGTGATGATACTCATCAAGTAGACGAGTGATGATACTACTCAAGTAGACGAGTGATGATACTACTCAAGTAGACGAGTGATGATACTCATCAAGTAGACGAGTGATGATATCAAGTAGACGAGTGATTATGCATAATGCTACTCAAGTAGACTAGTGATGATACTACTCAAGTAGACGAGTGATGATACTACTCAAGTAGACGTGTGATGATACTACTCAAGTAGACGAGTGATGATACTACTCAAGTAGACGAGTGATGATACTACTCAAGTAGATGAGTGATGATACTACTCGTGTAGATGAGTGATGATACTACTCGTGTAGACGAGTGATGATACTACTCAAGTAGACGAGTGATGATACTACTCAAGTAGACGAGTGATGATACTACTCAAGTAGACGAGTGATGATACTACTCAAGTAGACGAGTGATGATACTCATCAAGTAGACGAGTGATGATATCAAGTAGACGAGTATGCATAATGCTACTCAAGTAGACTAGTGATGATACTACTCAAGTAGACTAGTGATGATACTACTCAAGTAGACTAGTGATGATACTACTCAAGTAGACTAGTGGTGATACTACTCAAGTAATCGAGTGATGATACTATTCAAGTAGACGAGTGATGATACTACTCAAGTAGACGAGTGATGATACTACTCAAGTAGACGAGTGATGATACTACTCAAGTAGACGAGTGATGATACTACTCAAGTAGACGAGTGATGATACTACTCAAGTAGACGAGTGATGATACTACTCAAGTAGACGAGTGATGATACTACTCAAGTAGACGAGTGATGATACTACTCAAGTAGACGAGTGATGATACTACTCAAGTAGATGAGTGATGATACTACTCGTATAGATTAATGTCCCCATGTTAAAATATTTTATGCCAGTCTTAAATTTAATGTGGAATTTGCCGTCTCATTTTTAAAAAACAGATCAATATAATCAACCAACCCAAACATGAGCTTTTTTAAACTGTTTAATGTACCTAATAAGTCCAGTGTACAAACATATCACAGGATGGCATCCTGAAAGGGTCACAACAGACTTAGCTGATAGAAACAAGAGTAACAAATTGTAGGCACCTTCTACAAATATTTAAGTACAATAAAAACTCACCGTTTACAATAAGTTAACATTTAAAGTGGAATCAAAAATTAAACGTTACATAACTGTACACAAGTTATAGGTGATATATTTTACACATGCATGGAATGTACACCTCGTGAAGGTTATTTAACATTTTTATTACTTCGGTAAACATTTGATTTCAAATTACAAGGAATGGAACGTTGAGTATTTGGATCACATCTTCACAACAAACAGAATAATTAGAGTATAATATTTGGAACATTCAAATCAAGTACACATTTTGTTTATATTTTTTTTTAAGTAACAATTTTATTTGATTGTAGGTAAGAGTACTATTTCACAACATAAACTAGAAAAAATATTTAAGTTACTGAGTGACTTCAATTGTCTTTCACAAAAATATTGGTATGTACAAAATTAAAGGCACACAGAATATGTACAGAACAAGCACATAAAACAAAATTTTATTCATATTTTTAATATTGGAAATGACCTTTATATCTAAATGCAGTTTTATATTTAATTAAATTACTTGCAAACCACATGTACACGGAAAATGTACCAAAATAAAATGTCATGTCAATTTGCTTTTAACAAGGAAAAAAAAATTATAACGTACAAGGTAAGTAAGAAACAACCAGCAACCCAAAGAGACAATTTAAAAAAAAAAACATCACCTTTATAAATGCTTTGTGCTAAATTGTATGTACAAGGACTAGAATTAAATTATGTACAACAAGTCTTCATTTTCTCAAATAAATAAACAGATGGTAAACTTGAATGCCCATCACCGTATATTGCATGGTGAATTACTTCCGTAATAGTTTTTACACTTGGGTTGAACAACCTGCAACCACAAGCTCAACTTGTTTAAAAAAAAATGAAATAATTTTATTGAAAACTGCAGCACTAAATTTTGTTGCTCACAAGGTTCAACAACTTAACCCGCAGACTTATTGGTTTTATTATAGAACAAAACTTTTGCTATAATTACTGAGATAGAAAACTACACAATACAATTTTTTTTTAAATGTTCATAATAAGAATCAAGAAGAAAAAAATCTATTTATTCCTCAAAAAAAAAAAACTTTCTAATCAGAAGTGAAGAAGGTCACTACCAACATATGTAGCTACTAACAATGCAAAAAAAAAAAGAGTTTAAGCACTTAAACAATAACTGATCTAATAAAACACATTTACTAAAAATCCAGAAATAAGTAATATTAAAGTTTTAGCATACACATTAATTTTTTTCAAAAAATTTTATAAACAGGTATTATTTTTTTTAAGTGAGCTACATGGCTACTCTATAGTCTGAGAAGCTAAATAAAAACAACTGTCACAAAAGAATCTACTAACAGTTTTAAGTGGACAATGTAAAATATTTTTTATACTATAACGCTTTCAAATAATTAACAACTCATTAGTATCGTGTTAATTACATGAGCTAAACTACACCTGGCCAAATCTATTGATCAACAAGTACAAAGTTTCAGCTGCAACAAGATCTTGTTGTCAATCATCATCCAGCGTATATCATTTATTTCTGGGCATGAAATAAATCCTCGGAATCTGTCCTGATCTCACACTGGATCTGTTCTGCTTGACCTTGGGTGGGTTGCTAAAGGTAAACAACATAGTTCCGTTGTGGACCGTGGTCTGGCCACTGGTTCCCAGGTGGGATTCGGGACCACGGATGTAGATCTCTAAGGTGTACGGCACGTTCTTGTCAATTTTAATGGGGCGCTCAAACATGACAGGCAGTATGACACCAGCACCCTTAATGTTTATTGTCTCAAGAACTATATCTTTTCTCTTGCGGTAGAAAACGATATCAATACCGAACTTTCCCTCTCCGCCATTTTTGGGTCCATAAATTCCAAAGCCATAGAAATATAGGTCATGGTCCACAGAGAATGTGATGGCATCCACTTGGTTCTTATTTGTATCTGACTTGTAAACTTCTAAAAATCTGGTCACCTAAAGAAAATCAAATGTGTCTTTGTTACAAACCAAAGATGGACGTTTTATTGAAAAATAATAATTGCAATATTGAAGGAAAAAAAGTGATCAATCCTCAATGACTATTTAAGACCAGAATTATTTCCCTTTAATTCTTTAAGGACCCACCCAACAAAAATGATTAAATTGTTTTCAATGTTAATATTTATAATCTACTTAATTTTAAACAAAAAAAGTACAAGAAAGAAATTTCTAAACTAAAAAATCTTAATGAGAAAGCTGCAATAAACTCAAATTAAAATGTACTGCAGACAGTGCTTGGAATGTGTGGTCTGTATTATAATGTGTTCACATGCCCAAAAAAGATTTTGGACTCACTTGCTCAAAATCTGGCCACATGTTACAGCAATGAATCTTAGAGTAGGTGTACACAGAAGACCTTGACTTCAGGCTGGACATGGTGGACATCTTGTCAACTTCATCTGTTCTCTGTGCCTCTGGCGCAGGCATTGCCAGCGGGTCTTCACGCTCCCCAAACAATTTTTGTGTAGTTAAACTGTTTAAGATGTACCTACACAGAAATGGTAAAAAAAATAATGTGAAATCATCACAGTAAAGACAAATAGTAGTCTGGAAGTCAAAACACATTTGAAGTAATTCTTACCTGACTTTAAATAAATTAATGAGAAAAAAATTATTATTCAGCTTTCAAACACTACCAGCTGATTGGCTAGGGGGAGGAGCTTGTGATCAGCTACTTGAGCCAACAATCCTCATTGGTTGTAACTATCACAGACAAAAAATAGCTCTCATCTCCCTACAGCTGTTCTCAGTCTGTAAATATTTAGACTAAGAAAAACCTGTGTTAAGAACACACAAATGAAGGAAACACCAGACTCATGTTCTTACAAGGTATGGGTCTGGTTCCATTGTTCCTGTAGACCTAGTCACATGACGCAGGTGAGAGTTTCTACAACAGATCTTACCTGTGGCTGGCAGCATCATCTCTGTAGACCTAGTCACATGACGCAGGTGAGAGTTCCTACAACAGATCTTACCTGTGGCTGGCAGCGTCATCTCTGTAGACATAGTCACATGACGCAGGTGAGAGTTCCTACAACAGATCTTACCTGTGGCTGGCAGCGTCATCTCTGTAGACCTAGTCACATGACGCAGGTGAGAGTTCCTACAACAGATCTTACCTGTGACTGGCAGCATCATCCCTGTACACATAGTCACAGTCCTGTATGGAGTCCAAGACTGTCTCTTCATTGATCTCCTCTTTAGCCTCACTGTTGTGGTACTTTGTCCACCTGTCCACCACTTCCTGTTTTAGAGATTCCTCAACGTCTAGACCAGGCAGGGTCAGGACCTGTACAAGAATTTACATTTTATAAATTAAAGGTTCATGTTTGCAGTGCAAAATTATTAAAATTCTTAATTAAAAACTATAGGTTTCTTCGAATAGAGCTTTAATTGTTTTCAAGCCAAAACTATGTTCATGTAGTATTTGTGTATTAGCCAACTAGTATATATCTGATCAAATAAACAAAACTGATGAGAGCTGACCATCTTTTAAAACTATTCTTTCCATCCCAATTTTTAATCACATCTAATATCTTTAAGCATTGATAAAAGTAAAAAAACAAAAAAAAACGTCCCTACTGTTCTCAACAGTTTCTTAAAAAATAAAAATAGAAATGGTACCATGTTTAACAAGTATAAAAAAACAACTAGAAATGGTACCATGTTGTTAACTAAAAAAAAAAATGGAAATAGTACCATGTTTAACAAGTTCTTTGATAGTAGGTTCATCCCAACAGTCTGGAAAACATCTTCAGCATTTTTCCTTATAAAAGTTAAGATGGTTTTCTCTTCTTCTGGGTAGCCATAATGGTTTGTTTCATTCAGCAGGTAGCAAGCATTGTTTATCTGAAAAAATATTTTAAAATATTATTTGTTCATTTGATGGACACATGCAAGGTTGTAATGTAATAATTTGTTTGAATTATTATACTTTTCCCCATCATTAAGAAAATACATTTTGGAATTATTTCTCTAATAGGTCTGCACAACTCATTAGCTGCAACTAATTAGAACAGAATACCTACATCTAAGCAAGCATGAAGGTAATCTAGACAGGATTTTTTTAGGACTGGCAGGTCGTACTGGTCAGCTGCGTACAAGATGCCCACAACACTCTGCACTTCTAGTCTCTGCTCCTCACAGTATATATGTCTGGATGGGGTACAAGATAAGAGGGAATGGGTCAGCTCAAAGTGTAGAAACAAGGCATACATGAATAAATACAAGTGGGTAGCACTATACCACGAGTGTATACACACTTCATGCATGTAATGAATATACTTCTCACATATAGTGTACACACACAATCATGTACACACACACAATCAGCATTCAACAAACACATGACTGAAATGTGGGTTATTTTGCCACATTGATTTGGAGTCATAACTACAATTACAAATTAATTCATCAAGAGTTTTGTCACACATGTAACTGAGAGTAAATGGCAATCTTTCCATTAGCAAATAGTAGGTAGTTACTGGTTTCTTTCCAATAGACATTTCATAGAAATGTTACTGTAAATAAAGTGATTTGTATTGGGTTTTTTTGGCTTGAAGAAACCTCTTATTATTGAGACTGAACACGCTGGGACATATTCATATACTACACCCTTACTAAACTGCACATTAAAAACACCAACAAATTCCAAACATGACCACATGCAACATCCACACATACTCCACATGACCACACAACTAACACCCACACTCCACATGACCACACACAACTAACACCCACACTCCACATGACCACACACAACTAACACCCACACTCCACATGACCACACACAACTAACACCCACACTCCACATGACCACACACAACTAACACCCACACATCTCCCACATGACCACACACAACTAACACCCACACTCCACATGACCACACACAACTAACACCCACACTCCACATGACCACACACAACTAACACCCACACATCTCCCACATGACCACACACAACTAACACCCACACTCCACATGACCACACACAACTAACACCCACACATACCCCCACATATGACCACACACAACTAACACCCACACTCCACATGACCACACACAACTAACACCCACACATCTCCCACATGACCACACACAACTAACACCCACACATCTCCCACATGACCACACACAACTAACACCCACACTCCACATGACCACACACAACTAATACCCACACTCCACATGACCACACACAACTAACACCCACACTCCACATGACCACACACAACTAACACCCACACATCTCCCACATGACCACACACAACTAACACCCACACATCTCCCACATGACCACACACAACTAACACCCACACATCTCCCACATGACCACACACAACTAACACCCACACATCTCCCACATGACCACACACAACTAACACCCACACATCTCCCACATGACCACACACAACTAACACCCACACTCCACATGACAACACACAACTAACACCCACACATCTCCCACATGACCACACACAACTAACACCCACACTCCACATGACCACACACAACTAACACCCACACATCTCCCACATGACCACACACAACTAACACCCACACTCCACATGACCACACACAACTAATACCCACACTCCACATGACCGCACACAACTAACACCCACACTCCACATGACCACACACAACTAACACCCACACTCCACATGACCACACACAACTAACACCCACACATCTCACACATGACCACACACAACTAACACCCACACTCCACATGACCACACACAACTAACACCCACACATCTCCCACATGACCACACACAACTAACACCCACACTCCACATGACCACACACAACTAACACCCACACATCTCAAACATGACCACACACAACTAACACCCACACTCCACATGACCACACACAACTAACACCCACACATCTCCCACATGACCACACACAACTAACACCCACACATCTCCCACATGACCACACACAACTAACACCCACACTCCACATGACCACACACAACTAATACCCACACTCCACATGACCACACACAACTAACACCCACACTCCACATGACCACACACAACTAACACCCACACATCTCACACATGACCACACACAACTAACACCCACACTCCACATGACCACACACAACTAACACCCACACTCCACATGACCACACACAACTAACACCCACACTCCACATGACCACACACAACTAACACCCACACATCTCCCACATGACCACACACAACTAACACCCACACTCCACATGACCACACACAACTAACACCCACACTCCACATGACCACACACAACTAACACCCACACTCCACATGACCACACACAACTAACACCCACACTCCACATGACCACACACAACTAACACCCACACATCTCCCACATGTCTGAACACAACTAATTCCCACACTCACTTGACCACACACAACCAACCCCCACACATACTCCACACATGCCCACACACCTTAGCATCTCCCAGAAGTAATCCCCTGGAATGTCCGCCACAACAAACTCCTTCTTATCCTCAGCCCCTATGATCATCTGCTTGAGCACCACACTACGGGTCATCAGCACGTACTTATGTGCCCCAATCCTCTCCTTCTTCTCTCCACATATAAACAGTATGTCACATGACATCTGGCCGGTCAACATAATCCTGTTCTGTTCTAGAACACTCTGTCAAAAAATAATTTCACACATCAGATGCATTGAGCTGTGACTGATAATCAACGGTCATAATCAATTTGACAATTCTATTTACATATATCAATATTGTACAAAATGTATTTTTAGAAAGTCTTTTTTTTTTTAAATAAAATAATTAAGTAAAAAGTATTTTAAATTAAATAAGTATATTTTTCTGAATTAATAGGAAAATGTTTACTTTTATCATTTTTTTTTTACATTTACATATCTTGATAGATAAGTGGTTCTTTTTATATTATACTTTTATTCACAAGAAAAACACTAGCAGAATCTATACACAAACACATCACTGACATCAAGCAACATCAATCAGGTGTGACCATCTTTGAAAATCTTCCAGGTATAACTGGATAGTGTTTACCTTTAACCAAACCTACACATCCTTGTTAGATGCAGGAGTTGGTTATACCCAGGTATGGAAAACGTAACAGGCCTACACACAATTATTAGGACATTAGCTTGGACAGTAACAATACAAAGACACACACAGTATACAAAGTAACATCAGAACACATATATTGGGACATTAATGAAAACTGTAACATTAGAAATACACAGTATAAAAATGAAACAATATCTGTACAAGTATTGGTACATTAGAAACACACACAGTATACAAAGTAACATCAGAACACATATTGGGATATTATTGAAAATTAACACTAGAAACACAACCAATATAAAAATGAAATAATAGCTGTACAAGTATGTACATTAGAAACACACACAGTATACAAACTAAATAAGAAGGGTTTTATAAAACCAGACTTTGCTGAAACACCAACACCCTACAGAGTAACAAACCCCACTCCACACAGTGGGGAATTTTTGGTAAAAATAAAATAAAACATTGCAGCCTTTAAGCCTTGAAGGTGGTGTCTAGCAAGAATAATTAAACAGAAAGTTGTGAGCAGGCTAACAGTATACATTTAAGCTTCTATAGGATCAAAACCTCCAAGAGACACAATCTAACAAGTAAAGTTCCATGTGTAGAGGACCAGAGGCGTAGCGAGGGGGGGGACGGGGGGGGCGGGACATATGTACCCGGGCGCCGACCATAGGGGGGGCGCCAAATTGAAAGTGTGAGGGGGGGTGCAAATAGAAAATCTGCTCCCGAGGGGGGCGCCAAATTGAAAGTATGTCCCCGGGCGCCGGGAAGGGTCGCTACGCCTCTGTAGAGGACATTAAGTAATTACAATAAAATGGTAAGTGTTGTGCTATAAAGTAATAGCTATAGGTAATACAAAAGCTTTGCATATCAATAGTTACATTTACAGTACCAAGTTGGTCACATTTGTTTAATATACTTATAATATTTCTTCAATTCATGTCTTTTTATAACTTACAAGCAACTTTTTAATTGTTAACTTAATATTCTTTAAAATATTATTCAAAAACAAAAAATAAAATTTAATAATATTTTAGGGTGAAAACCAGTGCTTATAAAGATAGAGTAAGAAAAAATAATACAACGAAATGAAAGCAATAGCCTTTTCCATTTAAAAAAAACAGTAAATAAATATACTTTTTTTTTCTAGCGCATACCTGAAATTGATGCTGAGATTAGCAACTAAAAATAGATGAATCAGGTGCTATAAACTTACATCATTCTCTGTGTATCTCACACAAAATATGTTGCCCCCATCCATTGTTGGCAACACTGGATAAAGCTTGACTGCCATTTTTTAAATTCAACCATCAAGTTGTTTACAATAGATTGATATATATTCAAACATCAAAACATTGATATATACTGCTTTAAGGATATATGAATTGCATACTTGTGATAAAAATATAAATAGTTTTCAAGTAAAAAAAAAAAAAAATTTTCCCAATAGATACCATATTACATCATACAAAAAAGTGGTGATAAGATGTATTTTCAAAGAAAAAGCGGCCTATCCTAGCATAGATGTTTGATGATAGGAGATAGATTTATCTCTCACCTGAGCTGGGTTACCTACATCAGGGCAGCAGCAACAGGGGAGTGTAACTATCAGGTCTCTCACCTTAGGATCTTTATAATCCACCACGCCGCTGTCGTCAGAGTTCTCTGAGTTGTGTGAGGCTTTCTCCAGGTGGGCCGAGTCGTCCAGCCCCGGGTAGGCTGGACACCCACCTGAGGAGGTGGTCATGGTGGTGGTTGGAGTGGTTGGCGACGGAATGGTTGCAGTTTTTTGTTCGACACTTTAGTATCAGATGTTTGGTGTTGGTTGATCAGGTTTCTTGACGCAGGTAGATTGGATAAATCTTCAGATGTTCATCTGCAGAAAGAGAGATCAATATATGAACTGATGTTGAAGAGAAGATAAATTAAATAAGGATAACATGATAAAAGCAGTGGTTCTAAAATTAAGGTTAATTGTGTTGGAATCTAATTTAGGTGTATGTGACCTTAGGAATGAAGCAAAATATTATTACTTTGAGTACCAAAATAACCAAAAGGAAAGAATTTCAATAGCTTACATAACTATGCAGCACACAACTCAAATTTTAAAATTTTCGGGGTGATTCACCTTTTTTTTAAACTTCATTCACTTTAAGCTAAAATTTAAAACGACTTTAAGCATAATGCAAAAATCTGTTAAGAACTGCTTTTTTTCATAAATGTATATTTTACAACTACTGTTTATCAACATCCATTTCCACAGTAACATTGGTGTAAGGGTGATAAAGGGGAAGCATGATAAATCCATGCACACAAGCATTAATACTTAAAATTAAAAGTTAGGGAATTTTAAATCATAATTTACATTTAAAGTAAATTATGCTTTAATTTTCATTAAAATAGGCAAAGAATATAAAATCCTATTTTACATTTAAACCATGTGTTTAAATATTCATTAAAATATTAAAAAACACAACAACACACACTTTAATATTTAAACCCTCATGACAGCCATAATACGACAATAAATTACTCCTTCAAATCGAGGCTTAAATCCCTACAGAGCTGACAAGTAAACAGCAAAGAAGATATGATCCCCCTGACACCTTTTTATTCCAGGTGAATAGACCATTCATTTAGTGTCTACACCTCTAGATGTGCAGCAGTACAGGACACCTAACCAGGTAGACAGGCTAGTGAAAGGCATTTAATAGCATTCCTAGGCAAACCTATCCAAGTCCCTGTTATTTACTGCCAGTGCCAGCCTAGGAATTGGGCCAGGAAAAGTAGACAGTTATTGGTTTGTGATCCTGTATGTATTGTGCAAGAATTTACACATCATAAACATCAGAGGTGTAGCGAGGGGGGGCGGGGAGTGCGGACCGCACCGGGTGACACCATTTAGAGGGGTGACACCAAGGCAAAATATAGTTAAATATATAGAGAAAAATTTGGGGGGGGGGGTGCAAATCGAAAAGGGGGGGTGCAAATCAAAAATTGAAAGTTTGTTCCCAGGAAGAGCCGCTATGCCTCTGGGGGGGGGGGGGGGGTGTGACACCATTAAGTGCCGCACCGGGTGACACCTGACCTCGCTACGCCACTGATAAACATTAAGCCGGATTTTTTAAAATTTGCTTTCACTACCCAAAATTTTAATGATTATTTTTTTTTTAAAATGTAATAAGTTTAACTAGATCTATTTTAAAGATTGACATTAAAAAAATATATTGTTTGTAAATTTTTGTTATCAAACATTGGGGAATATCCATTTTTATCTACATAAAATTAGTACTGACTTATCTGAATATGTTTACCACAACAGACATAGCTGATTCACCCACGCATACCAAACAAAATACTATTGGTTGTTATGTACACAAACTTTAATCATCGCAGTCACAATGGGTGTAGATTAGAGAAGCCTGGTGGAAGCCGACGTTGTAAAAATAGTAAATAAATAAACGCGGAGTGGGAGGGGGGGGTCAACAAGGGCTGGATCACGTGACACAGCACGGCAGATACCGTCCCCGTAGATAAACAAAAGACAAACGATGTTTTTGTGTCGTCCGTCACGTCGGCGTGTTCCAGCAGATTTGAAACGTCATGACGATCACACAGACCGTTGAGGCGTTCGGTACATAGTACATGCTTCAACACCACCCCTCCATATCGCACCTCAACAGTAAACAGTTTATTGATATTGATTGATCTCCAGCTTTAGAAAACAAAAAAAATCACGCTTGTCCCCATCTATTCAACTAATAACTTATTTTGATAATTTCCTATGATAAATACAAACAATATAGTTTACTAAAGCGCACTTTGAATTGTAGCGCACTTTTAATTCTAACGCACTTTCAGTTACAGCGCACTTAATGTAAAAATTTCCTGCCTAATTAAAACGCCTCACATAATAATACAGCCAAACTATTATAAAGAAATGGGTAGGCATTTATCTTTTTTTTTCCTGGTTAAGTTTTTTTAAGATACACAACTTCGTAACTCAACCCCATTAATCTACTTACTTTGACTTAAGTTCACATTTTGAAACAGCATATTATCTTAAATGTAGACGGTAACGGTAATCAACCCTGGTTTTTAATTTTCATAAACTTTTTGTCTCTCTCCCAACTCTGTAGGCTCGTGTAAAACCTATCAAAATAGCCGCAATGGCGATTGTTATGACAGACCAGTAACGTAAATGTATGTGTGTGTGTGCCCAGTCGGTGGTCAATGTCCTAAAGTCCTAAAGTGACTGTTACATTCACTATCCCGTACAAAGTCAATATCATTACTGCTTATTTTATATATACATCTGAAATGATCAGATTTATTGATTGGTTAAGTGATTTCTGACGACTGTTTAAAAATAGAATTACCAATCTAGACCCTATTTACGGTGAATTTCCCAAACAGTAAATCAAACTGTACGAAGATACATATACTGACCTACTTACGAAGACGACACTAATCAGCTTCGTATACCGACTTTGATACTAATACACTTGTAAATAATAGTCCACTCACATGGTAGTTAGAGAAACATTGGAACATGTGAAAACACACGACAACATTTCTACATCTAGATCTACCAGGTAGGCCTACGCTGTAAGCAGCAAAACGTCTCTCTGTGACCTACTTAAGCGACCTGTAGCCCACAGAATGACGTGACTTGCGCAGGCGTTGATAGGTACGACAGGTAGATTATTATGCCCCATCTTTCACAAGCAGGATGTGTTTACACTCGGCTCTTACTTGATGTATGTAATGTATGGGTCGTATCGATTAGCCGTACCCACGTATTCAGCGGGTAGTGCCGATAAAGAAATTAACCCTTGTAGTTACAACTAGAGTGTAGCTTAGGTTTATCAGTGTCTACTAAAGCTGCACTTTAAACTTCAAACTGCAGATATATGCGGATGACCGCTAAGGTGGGATCAGCGCCATGTACAAACGTTCCGATATATAAATATGCATAGTGAGTGTCGACTCTTCAATTTATTAATAGACGGAGTGAGGTAGAATTAAACGTAAAAACTATTTTTTAATATAGGCGCAACATAGAATGCCAATAAATCCAGTGAAACACTGTGGTATAAAAAAAACAAACCAGAACGAGATCAGATCAGTACAACACAACACAAATTACTGGAGAGTCGATGTTTTTACAAAAACGTGAAATTCTAAACTTGTTAACTCAATATCTGTTGTCAAATGTTAGTCGCTATACTTGTATTTTAAAACATCAAGATTAAAAACTTCAGAAGATGAGATTACTAACCTTTGATTGGATGTATTTATCTAATGAAATAAGACTGAAATTTTTAAAAGAACAACAATAAGTAAAATGATACAAGAGAAGTAATGTCTACCACCAAACAGGACAAGCCATTCTGAGAAAGTAACGGAGTAGTGGGTGTAGACCGGCCAGGATATTGCAGACCACAAGGAGATTCCAACACACTCAGTATTAAAGACGTTTGTCTTTGACAAACCAGGACATGCGCAGCAACATTGTCTTCAGTTGGTTGCTTATCCACATAAATCACAATAAAAAAACGTTGTAAGTTATCAATTACTTCAACGCACCGATGTTAACAATAATTCATTTAAACAAAACACAACCGTACAAGAATATCATTCAACACACATTCTTGGTGAAGGCCAATACATAGTAGGCCTCCCTTAGTTTCTGCTTAACCAGAGTCAGATTCGGTACAGTAACAATAGGCCTATATAATGATGTCACACTATTGGTTAAGGCTAATATATAGTAAACCTATACTCGTAGTTTCTGCTTAAAAAGAGTCCTATGTGTTACAGCAACAATATACAGTGGTTGCACACTTTCAGTGAAGGCCATTGTACGCTTAGTTTCTGATTAATCAAAATCAGAAGTGTTACAATAACAACGGACAAAGGCAGCACACTTGCATAGATAGCCTATGTACACCTGGTAGGCTATAAGCCAACGCCAAACCACCAGTCAAACAAAGAACAACCAAAACATAGTGTACAACATCGGGAATATAAACAAAACATACATGACAATCTAAATATAACATAGTTCGTACACATTGTAATCAGTTCTATACAAGAAAAATTAAAGTGCCAAAAAAAACTTAGTACTATCTCAAGTTCAAAAGAAAAAAACAATAGAATTATCAGGAAATAAAACATAACATTCATGATATCTAAATATGAAATAGTTCGTACACATTGTAATCAGCAGAGTTCAACACAAGAAAAATAAAATTGACAGGAAAATATCTCACTAACTCAAGTTCAAAGGGGAAAAAAACAATAGAATAAGCAGGGAATAAAACATAGCATTAATGACACTCTAAATACTTGATTAAATACTAGATACAATTTGTAATCAGCTTAGCTCTATACAAGCAAATAAAAGTGCTGGGAAAACATAGTACTAACTCAAGATCACAGAAAAAAAACAATAATCAGACACTCGCCGTGTAGGTTAATTCTACTAAGCAAATGTACATATTTTAAACTTAGCAGAAGCAGCGCAGTAATCCTTCCAACAGAATCGCTGGTATACCCTAACATCAACTCAGTGCTGATGTGAAGCACATCAACTTCAACCTTTATCTGTTGCCCCTTTCTGATTGGAGAGTATGTTGTTATCATCCATGAGTGCCACAGAACGCGGCGTAATGATACGGGTCCATACCAGAAGTTGTCCAGTCATCAACTTTCAAATACAGTAGCGACCTAGTTTTACAGAGAACTCATCGTTTGGTCAACATTTAAAAAAATATTTAAATATCACTGCAGCCGCTTTTACAGGTGTTTCAGTGCAATCTTAGACACTGCTTTGTATGTCTATACTGAACAAACGTCACAATATTTCAATTA